AGAATCGAGAAAAATTCAAAAATCCCTGAAGATAGTCTAGAATATGCCTTGAGGTGAATTGAGGCTTTGATTGTCAATAGAGATTGACCAATTTCTATAGATTATTATAACGTTGGAAATTTGGTTTCATCTGTAGCCTGAGTTACCTCATGGTACTACTTTGTGGTGGTATGGCAGTCTTGTGTTATGAAGGTTCATGTATGCATCCTAAAAGTTTAGGGTATTGACCTGCTGATTGCATGCTTTTGACGTGATATCTGTGAGATACTGTCTTTTAGAATAAAGTTTCTGTGGACTCTACTAAGTTACAAATTTTCATCTATCTCCTTAATCATCTAGAAGAGATGGTTATGTTTAGTAGACAGACAAGTTCTTATTCTTAACTGTTGCAATGGTACCTTAAATTTACTCTAGAGTTTCTGTTCTCCTGGCAGGAAAGTTGAGAGACTTTGTTACTGTGTTTTCGAGAGGTACTGTAGCCAGGAGACAAGCAAGCTCAAGGCAAGTTTTTGCTTGGTGAGCTTCCAGAACTTGTCTTTTGTGAGTAGAGGATAAGCACTTATCTACAGCATGTAAAAACATCATCAGGAACTACTCAAAAATGTTAAGGTTGCCTATGTTTCCCTGTATCTTCTTCTAATTTTCTCTTATTTTTTCAAGTCTGTCTTGAGAGCAGTGCCGTTTCACACTTATCTGAGGATTTCAGAACTGTTGCATTCAATTTCATTTTTGAGTTGCTCTGCAGTGGTTAATTAGTTTTCTCCCTATGCACTGCATCAAAAGTGACTTTGTAGCCTGTTTTGTGGTGAAACTCATTTGCTTCATCTCGGGCAGGTCCACAAACCTGGAGATGTTTAATTCTGGGTATGCCTTCATTTGGAAATTAAGCGGATTATCTAACTGTTTTTCCAAAGGTGCCATATGTATATTTTATATATTTTAGGTAGATACCTTAATTTTAGGCATCTTTGAGTTCAGCACCGTTCAGACTCACTTGCATGAGTAGTTGTTAGTTGTGGTATTTGACATATCTGTTCGCAAAAATATGCTAACAGTTGTGCTCTCGTCTGAACTATTGCTATGCTGGGAGTGTGAGTGAAATTGCCATTCGCGCTGCCACGTTTAAATGCAAAAATGCATTGTTTGAGGTGTAGGAATTCACATGGAGAAGGCTCCAGAGTTGTGATAGCAGGCATTCAAAATGTCAGATACTGTTAACTGTAATAGTTTTCGAGGACTTTTTTTGCCAAAATAAGCACTGATCAGTTTCACCAGTGTTAAAAATATTGACGGCATGTGGATGGCTTGGCAGCTCCTGTATTTGTTGCCCCTGTCAGTTATGGTTGATTTGAAAATGGCTACGTAACGAAATGTTGCTTACACTCTCTGCCGTCCTCTCCCGAGACGCAGGCGCCTCGGTGCTAGTGGTTGTGCTGATTAAGCTTTCTGGGGTAGGGAAAACTGTTAGGCTTTCCAAACGTTTAATTACTGCGTTTAAGTAAGTAAATCTACTTGTTACAGCGTGTGTCCAATGGCAGAAGCACTCTCTTAACGGATGTTGCATCTCTAGGACAAAATGCAGGACGAGTACTAGAAATCTGGTTTCCTCCTGGTAACGTTCAGCTCGCTGGAACGCAATTATATGTGAATCACTTGAGCTTCGGTACAGTGTCGCTTCTTTGGAAAGAAATACAAGAACAGACATCTTGGCATATTCATGATGTTGCAGCTGAATGTTGGTAGGATCCCCCAAAAGGCCTACGGTATTTCAGCTGCCAGTTCATTTTATAGGTATTTCTATAAGAAGAAATACACTTCTTAAATTAATAATCATGCTATCAAAATGTACTCAGTGTTTCCAGTTTGGCATTATAGCTTACCACTAAAGTACATATCTTTGATCATTTTAATAGTTTCAGAATGGTTCTTTTTTGTAGTAGGACTTCATTTTTAATGTTTGAACGGTGCTTTGAAGATTAGAAGCACTGCTGAACTGTAAGCGTTTTTTGTTAATTGAACATTAATGGCATTTAAATCTGGCAAGTGGCTACTCCAAGTGTTTGAACTGCTTTGGTATTTTGAAGACTAGAGTTATAAGGCTGGGAAAGTCTTAAGTTTTATGAAATAGTTATTTGTATGTCCTTTTTTGAACAGCCTTTGTGTTCTTAAATATTTTCTATTATTTCAGTTGTATTTACTAAGTTATGCTGCAGGTGACTGTCAATCTGATTCCACAGGTAGAAGTAGTAGTATAAACAGAAAAGTGTTCCCTTTTTTTTTTTTTTTTTTTTTGAAAAAAGGATATTATGGATATATGAATAACTTGAATGTATGAGTATTAGCAGCAGGGTCTACCTCAGAAAGGTTACTTTAAAAATAAATGATTGTTAAAATTAATGTGTTATGAGGTATCAGAACTAAAAAAGCTTCCTGAAAAGTGTGATTTTTTTTTTCTTGTTACAAAGTCATATTAACTGATACAGTTTCTACTTGTGTGCAAAGCTTTTCTAAATGGCCCAAGAGATACCATTTTGCCAAAGATGTGCTGCATTACTTAAAAATAACAAAAACAATTTGAAATGCGATTTGGTTACTGTTGAATTCACGTAGTGATAGTATAGCAGTGATGGGTCTGAGGGTATTCAAAACAGTTGCGGTTTGTACAAAGAGACAGTATCTGTTGTTGAAAGAGTAGATGGATGGGAATTGGAAACAGTATTTGGAGAAGTGAATCAGGACTGCATGAGAGGTAGGTTATACTGGTGCTTTTCCATATTTCTTCTGGGATATTCCTTTACGTGTCATTTGGAAAAACTGATTCTTAATTCTGAGTGTGTTTATTTTAAGGCTTCATAGTTTTCTTATTCGAAAAATAAATGTATTCTGATTCTGTTCTGATACTTTACAAACCTAAAATCTTTGGAGGAAATGTGTAGGTGAGTGTTTATTTTTGTGGTTTACTCAGTATGAAGCTTTGGCTTGTGCAATAAAATCAGGAAATGTCATGGCGTTGTCATTTGGATAGTGATGAAGTCTTCCCGCTGCTAGACTAGAAAACAAGTGGAATGATGTGGTAGCATTTGAAGCTAATCTCTTTGTTGTCTCGAAAGAAGTAGTTCTACTTTACATTTGAAGGTCTGCTTTTAGTACCAAAATAGAAAACATCGGTGCATATTTCCTGATTGGTCACATGTTTGTATTTTGATGGCAGGTTTTTCAGTCTAAGTTTAAGACCTTGTTATACTAATGATTTACTAAATAAAACTCTACAGAAGAAAATGAAAACAAGAATGAGGTGTCGTTGGATGCATCTCTCAGATTTCCTCATTTATTTTTTCATAAATGATTTTTAGTAGCTAATGTATTTTACAGTGCAACCTTAACTTCTGCAACTTGTTAATGGGTACAAAATTTAGAAAAGTTATTTCAAACCTGGAGTTCGTGAGATACTTCTAAAGGAGTCTGAGGAAGGTAACAAAAACCCAAAGCTTGTCTGCAGATCTAAAGCCAATATATTGGGTTCTATATCTCCCTGGATAATGTCTGCCATGGTATTCAGGTTAAAGATTGAAAACTGCCGACATAAGGCATAACTACAGATTGTATTTGGGGTATTTTGCTAGCATTTTAAGAATTTTGAACACATGAGTGGTATTGTCAATATCTCAGTGATAAGTAAGGTTTCAATAAGTGTTAGCCCTCTAATGTTTATATCTAACTTAGCTGGAAACAGGAATTTCTTTCTCACCTTTTTTTTTCCCTTATTTTCCAAAGCAGGCTGTCCATGAATTTTTTTTCTTTTCACAATTTGCCCCTCAAAAGAATTATATTTGTAGAGACTTTTTTTCCATTTAACTTGTATTGTGGCACTCTTAATTTATTATTTCCATTCATTATTACTTCTAATTCATTTAAAATTTTGACATGAACTTGGACTAAACAAGCAAAGAAAAAGCTAAGGAAGAGTATATGTTCCTGCTATGTAACTGAATTTAATATTCCTTCCCTGTAGGAAGTTCATTAAGTGCCCATATTTATACAAAATCTATTCTCAGAGTGGTTGAGCTGAAATGCATGTGAGTGGGTTTGCCTATGGACATAAAAGTGGTATTGCTTTGTTAACAATGTAGTTATCAAACATTTCTTGTGCGGTTTGCTTAGAAGGACTAGAATTTAGTGAAATAAGACCTGCTTGTACTGGACCTAGCATAATTTCTCTCAAGCGTGAGTGTGCGCGCGCGGTTAGCGTTTCTGATCTCTTTTATTAATTTAAAAAACTTACAATTTTACTTAAGTGTAAAGCATTTCTAGAGATTAATTGATTTATTTTTGAGTGATTGTTTTCCAACTCATACTGTTTACAGTATCATCTCATGAGAATAATTCACCGTAGAAATCAGATTTTGTTAAAGATATAGGAACATTTTGCTTCTTGTTTGTGTTCCTCCTTTGGTCATTGTTTCATTATTCTTAAATATCCTGTGATAAAAATTTAGTTTGCAACATAAAAATAACATTACCATCTGATGTAAAACTTCAATAAGATGTAGTCTTAGAAGTTAATGCAACTGAAAGTAGATGAATCTTTTACGTTTTAAAAATTTCCTACGAGTTTCCGCGTAGTTAGTTTCAAGGTATTTTGATAGTTTCTTGTGTCACGTCTCCCCCAGGAGGAAGCTTATTGCCCCTGTAAGGTAGCTTTTAACAGTTACAGCAACAAGGTAAAGAGAAGAGATCAATATTTCGTTTTAGAAGGGTGTTTCAGAAAATTGGTTTAGAACTGCATTTTGACTGTTCGTTTAATGGTCTTTTTTATTCCCCTGTAATTTTAGAATGGCCCCCTGTTCATCAAGCTGTATTAAAATTGCGGGTGTTTTAGCCAGTAACTCACTTGGTTTGCTGCTCTAATTTAGAGAACACTTAAACTATATATCTGGAGTTTTAAAATTGTTGGAAGAAAAAAGATTGCTTATTGCAGTTTTCTTGTCTTTGTGTTTTAGGTTGTATTAAAGATCATTAAACATTACCAAGAAGAAGGACAGGGAAATGAAGTGGTCCAGGGAGTGCTGCTGGGACTTGTGGTAGATGACAGACTTGAAATCACAAATTGTTTTCCTTTCCCTCAACATACAGAAGATGATGCAGACTTTGATGAAGGTAATATTTAGTGTTATACACAGCTTTAGAATACGAAGTTGTCCTATGTGCAAAAAGGTCCATCTGTCAGAGATTTGTAGGGATAAGTGTTACACCATATGGATACACTTACTTTACAGTAGGGTTGTCCACACAAGAAGTCACGTTAGTTTCCAATCTATAATTCATATAGACTTAGAAAAGCTTGTCATGAAAATGGCTATATGTGTATATTCATATATGCGTGTGCATTCCTGTATATTCATATATATATGTATGTATGCGTAAGTATATGTGTTTAGGCGTATAGATTGCCTCCCTGGGGCTTCATATGTGTTAAGTACTCATTGAAAACCAGGAAAGCAGAGCTTTTAAGTTCAAGAGACGCTGTTGACTTGAAATCTGGATGATCTTTTTGCTTCTCTAAGTGAACTAGAAATAGTATCAGTTGTTTATATCTGTCCCTCTTTCCTTGGTGGCACTGGTAATGTTTTCTTAATGCCTGTGTAAATCAGTATAATGCACTTACCACAGAATGAGTTTAATTTATAAATTTTATATTAAAAGGCATGCAATTCTAATCTTTGTTTTATACATACGTACGTGTGTGTGTGTATATATAAGTATGTGTTTAATGATACTAGTAGAAACACTTTTTTGTTAGAGCTCGAAAGTTTAACTTCAAGAGTAGCTGAAAAGGCAATATAGTCAAAGTAGTTATGGCTGGAAGCCTGATTGTATCTAATTTTGAGAAATCAGTTTGAACAAGATTAATCTTGGTGTGGTATTAGATATATTTAAATATTAGATATATTTAAGTTTTAGCTTTATTACTAAAGAATCATAGACTCTACTTTTTAAAAGAGAGACCATTTTAACAGTTTAACGCTTAATAAGGTTGCTTCACTGTTTTTTGCTTCTGCTGTGGGATCACACAATTCACTATATGAAAAAAAGGCAAAAAATAAGGGTATGTTAATTGTCCTACCGTAATATGGTGCTAGGGTCAGAACTGTGTTTTATTAAAACCTAAAAGACGTTTAAAAGTCGACTTCTCTCTTCTGTAACTCTTCAAAGGATTGGGCTAATCCAAGTTTTTGATTAGAGCCCATGCTTCAATTTTTTTTCCTGTAGAAAATGGCCTAATTGTTTCAGTGTAGCTGGCAGAAGAGCAAGGAGTGAAATGAATTTCTTCATTTCCATGAAGGGTTCATCAAACCACATGATGGCTACCATGAAGATTCTCTAAGCCTATGATCTTTTATGTAAGCTTCAACTCTTGCTAAACATTGAGAACAGCTGTTCCTGCTAAGGAGTAACTTCGTTCCAAGAACGTGTCTGTTGTTACCCATCTTCTACTCTACCTTCTCAGCAAATAGACAGTGATTCTGGCATAAGGTGCAACAGGCAATGCCTGTGCACCTTCCCCCACCTGGATGCCTTAGCTTGTCAGCCTCCTGCTCCTGTGCTACAGACCTATATATGAGAGGGGAACCAACTCTTATCAGAGTAAAAAGTGAATCTATCACAGTTATGCTGATAAGCACTGCTATCAGCATTAGGAAATAAGCTGGCAAAGCAGTTACTTTTGCCTATGCTGAAAGGCTGTGAAAGGCTACAAAGAGGTTCTCTGCCTCCTCAGTAAAATATATTTAAGTAGAATTAACTGTCCAAAAAACCTACAGCTCTTTTGCTCACTCTGCATACCCTTTACTGAGTGCCTCTTCAGCCCTTGGACCCTTGTGGCAGAGTCTAGAGAAGATTAAAACCTAAACAAAATGACTCTGGAGAAATCCAGCTGAGCATTAGGTGCCTTTTTAGCCACTACGCAGAGTTGCCCTCTGTCTTGCCAATGTGAACTTCAACTACACTTTGTAAATACTCCGTGTTTGTTCTCCCTGAAGCTGTTGTTTCCCTATGCAAGTATCCTTCCAGCTTTTGAAAAGATTATTTTCTGTCTTCTAGATGCACATATTCCGGAAGAGAAATCTCTTGTTATCTACCAGAGCCTTAAAGTTCAGGATACTAAAAATCAAATCAAACAAATCATCTCCCTTCCCCCAAGTCTTGTACATAACATCAGTATCACAGCTGGATTTGTATGTCTGCATAGGTTCAGGCCCCAAGATATGGAAAGAGGAAAATCTCTGCACTTCAGTGCCTCCTTCACCCAGAAAGATTCATTCTTTCCTCTCTTTGGTCAGAATAATGTTGTCTCATCTTTTCTTCTTCGATTATATTTTCAGATTTTTTTCCTTCCACCTTACCTGAGATTTCAGGATAGGGACAATCCTATGTGTCAGCTTCTGGGCCTACAAGGAGTATTCCTTAAAGGACTTGAGTCATACTTGATCTTGGGTTAATGTGGGGACTCTTGCACTGATTGAAAGGCCATATTACCCCATCTGCTCTCCCCTGAGAGGAGGAGATAGAGAGTACCCACTGTTGGATTATCTGCTGGCAAACTCCAATCTGTTATGGAAAAAAATTGAATGAATACACTAAAAAGAAAATTCGTTCTAGTAGTGTTTTGCGAGAGTGCTAGGAAGAAGAGGCCTAAAAAATATTTGTTACCTTATTGTCTTGAGTTGACGAAGGTAGTTTGGATCATTAGTTTTCAGGTTTATAATGACCAAGAATTAAAGAGAAGAGTGCTGTAGAAGCTCATGTTAATTGTAAACCTGAGAAATTTTAATTCTGAAGTATTCAGCTGTCCAATAACAAAATGTGATGTCAGAGAAGTGGAATCATCATTGTTAGGAGAATTAAGCTTACCTACAGGAAGGCGAAATTTGAATGAACGAATTGTTAGGTGATTGGCAGGAGACGTTTAAGCTAATGATTTCCTTTCTTGGAGGAAATCTTCTAATATAAAACACATTTTTGAGAGTGTAAGAAGATACCATTAGCTTAAATCTTAAATGTCAGACTATTTAAATAGCTATTTAAAGAATCAGTTTGATAAAGATGGATTTGTAAATGTTGTTAGCAATAACCATTTTTTCCGATGTGCTTTTGTTATGATGACATTTTGTTTCTTACTGCTAATGCCTGAGCTAATGTAAGTTTTAACTATTTGTCTCAACAGAATTCCCTCAAAAATGATTTTTTTGATTTCAAAAAATACCTGTTCGTTTAGTGTAAAAAGAGTTCCATTTGGATTAGACTATTTCTAGAAACTACATAAAAGTGAGAGAGATTTTTTTAGTTTCCAGTGATTCATATTATAAATCTAAGAGGAGTCTCTTAACTTTTGTCAAATCACAGGTGTTTTTCTGCTTTTTAGGAAGTTTTTCTTACAATGTCATCTTCCTAAGGTGTTTTTTTAAATGAAGTGTAACTTTTCTTAAAGATTTTTCCTCTCGGGGAAGTCTTGTGCACTTATGGCCTGCTATAGCATAATATTTTCTGGGGAGAATTTCATTCATCTGAGTTCTCTGTGTTAGAAAGCTCTAGGTGAAGGTTTATTGATGACGTGTGAGCTAATGGAAGAAAACTGGTGAATTGGGGTATATTGTTGAGTGTCTGGCACAAGATGCTTCAACAGGAAAGTTGGAAAATGTTGAGGCTGTACTGCAGACTCATGTTCAGATATTTACTTTGAAATAACTTTGTTTCTGTGTTAATAGTGTACTTATAAATGCTCAGAGCTTTTGCATTTACTTTTCAAAACGCAGATTTTTTTTTTAAGATACTTTCAGATGACTCTTTCCCTCCCCGCACCCCAAAAGATTCACCTCTTCTTTAGGGAGAATCAAATTTCTACTGTAAGGATTTTTAGTTAAAGCACTTCTGTGAAATGATGTAGTACCCAAGCTGGTCTTTGTGAGATTAGATTTCTGAGGGTTACTTTCACTTTGGGGTACTTAAAAACTTTTGTCCGACCTCAGTTTTTCTTTCTTTCAGTTAAGGTCTACAGAAAAAGAGGACTTTCTTTTGCTCTGAGATCACACATTAAATGTATTTTATTCCTGAGAAATAAATGTATTATTCTTGGATATAAGTGGTGTCTCTGAGGGACAGGTTAAGTTCAGTCTTTTGTACTTCGTTGTTCTTCTCTTCTGCTATGAATTCAGTAGCTTTTCCTCCTGTTTAAAGGAAATGTATATTCCTTTCGTGGAGAGCAACAGTTAACAATGTAATATACATTTTATGATTGACTATACATGTTGCGTGAGGTCTAAATTTGGTAAGGCATTTTGAAACAGATTTTATTCCAACCTGGTATGTTTTAGTTCCTTACTTTCAAAGCTGGGATAAAAACCAAGCTTGGTTTCTATTGGTAATCATGCCAATAGAAACATCAAGACAATTATATAATTATATATAGAAAAAGTTCTAGATGGTTGTAACTTTTTCTTCTTTTATAACTACGTGGAGATTTCATTAGATCCTCTGTGAAATACTACAAGTAAAAAGATGATGCCTTTTTTCTCTCCTCGTGCCCCTCTAGTGATTTTTGCTTCCTTACCTGCTCTTGTTTGTGTTTGACTGTTTCATCAGTCAATAACAACTAGAAATAACGGGTGAGTATTTTTGTGCAGCAATATTGCACTATTTTCTTTGTTGAGACCAAATAGGAGTCAAATGGGAGAAATAGCACATTTTAGGTCTTGTATAGTACTTTTTCAGGACTTTCAGTCAAACAATGGTGGCAGCAGTGTATATTGCAGTCTGTCTTGCAATATTACCAGTACAGTGATCGGTAATACGTGATTCCTGTGGAAGCAGAAGGCTTCAGACAGCTGAAAGGAACTTGCTTGGAGAAATTAATTTAAGATAAAGCAATGGAGTGCGTGTGTGTTTTTGAATCATTGTCCACTACAATGAGAACAAAGGACGTGTTCTTTGTGTTAAAGCCCTTCCCATTTTATTGCAGGAATTGCTCTCGAGGTGAGGTTCGGTGAGCGCAAGGCTGTGGTCTGCAGCGCTGCGGTTCGACGTTACAGGGGCTTCGGGCCAAGTGGTGTGAGGAGTTCTTATGCTGGCAGCATACTGTGCCACTGTGCCCAGCTGTTATG